GCCTGCTTGGGCTTCTCTCTGCCCCTCCCCTGCTCACCCTGTCTCTCTCTCTCTCTCAAAATAAACTTTAAAAAAGAGGCAGGGGGGGGGGGGGGGGGACTGGTGAGGGATGTAGGACAGGGAATCCCAGCTATAGCCCGTATTTAAGGGCCTGAAAGCTGTCCTTTGGGGATGCAAACTATCCCGGGAAAGGCAAGAACACCGAGGCCCGAGGCCCGAGGCCCAACACTGCTTTTCTGGCACGCCCACGGGCTGCAGAATCCCGCGCCCCAGCTCTCTGGGCTCAGAGGAGGGTTTGGGGGGCCTTGCCTGGTGGCCAGACGCCTGTGGGGTCTCCTCGGGGCTCAGCTCTAAGCTGTTCGGACCTCATTATGTTCCAAGAGGTGTGGGCAGTGTTCGCCCCGTCCTCGATGCCAGGGAGACCCCCCCGCCGGGGGAGGCTGGGGCTGGGGGCCTCACCCCATCCAACCACTCTCCCCTGGCCTTGACGTTTGGCCTATCTGAGGCTGAAGACTTTTCTTTGGGGAAAAGCCTTTGCTCTGCAAATATGGCAACTCTGTGGATCATGTGTTCATTTCTTCTGCTTCCTGGGCTGGAGATCTGAATCCCCCCTTTTTTCCTTTTCTCTTACCCTCCCCCTCCTCCACACATCAGCCAATCCTGTTGCCTCTGCCTGCAAAATTTATCCTAAATCTGCCTTCTTATCCGCCCCCCCTGCCTCCGTCCCCACCTGGTCCAGCCTCCATCGTGACTAGTCCTGCCTCAGGGCCTTTGCACTGGTCCTTCCCGCTCCCTGCGTATCCTTCCCCCTGCTCTTGTGTCTCCATTTATTTCCTTTGCTTTAAAAAATGTATGTAGGGGCGCCTGGGTGGCGCAGTCGGTGAAGCGTCCAACTTTAGCCAGGTCACGATCTCGCTGTCCGTGAGTTCAAGCCCCGCGTCGGGCTCTGGGCTGATGGCTCGGAGCCTGGAGCCTGTTTCCGATTCTGTGTCTCCCTCTCTCTCTGCCCCTCCCCCGTTCATGCTCTGTCTCTCTCTGTCCCAAAAATAAATAAACGTTGAAAAAAAATTAAAAAAAAAAAATGTATGTCAAGGACGTCAGCTTCGAGACGGCAGTGACTTGGGTTTATCTCTGTGACCGTTGGGTCCCCAGCTACTAGCACAGTGCCTGCCACACAGCAAGGGCTCAGTAAAAATTCCTTCCGCGACGGAAGGCATGAATTCACGGAAGCTCAGAACACAGCCTGGTTGTGTTCCCAAGTCCTGGATGGGAGCATTTAGCCGTGGACACAGATAGAGATATTAGGGGGGGAAAAGGCTCCAAATTTTGGTTGCCTCCCTCTGCCTTTAATTATTTTGTCGACAAGGCTCACAATTCAGCAAGTCAAGGTGGCATTTGAGAGGGACGGTTCCCTTTAGCGTAGCTGACAGCTAATTTGTGGGAAGTTTAATTACAGGCGGCGTTAATTAACTGACAGAATGCTGGGCGAGGAAGGCAGCCATCTGTTCCTAAAAACGTCCTCCCCTCCTGGGCCCCGGCTGGGAGGCTGGGAGGGGTGGGCAGGGAAGAGGACAGGGCGTGGAGAAGAGGCGGGGACAGAGGAAGAGGAAGGAAGGAGGGCCAGGTGATGAATCACAGGCTTCTCACCCCTCTTCCAGATGCCGCTGGGGTGAGGTCTTGGCACTCGGCCTCCTCGCGGCCTCCACCATTTCGCAGTCGCCTCCGGGAGCCGCGGGGAGGGGGGCAGTAAGTTCCTTGGAATCTGCTTCTTGCTGGTTGCATCACGAGGAGCAGAGGGTGTGGAGTAGTGGAGGTGAAACAGCACGCGGTCGTCAGCTCACACTGGAGCGGATGGGCACCCGCCAACGGAGGTCGGGAGGAGACGCTGGGCCAGAGGCCCGGGGTGCAGGATGCCCTGAGAAACCTGGCCTGGGAGAAACGGGTCAGTCTGCCCCTCCTGCCACCGTTCACTCCTTCATTTCACCCGCTCTCCGCGAGGATGGCAGAGAGGCGACGCACACGGCCTCCAAAGACGGGCTTCCGCGGTTCAAAACCAAACCCAGCTTTGTCCCTTCTGAGCCGTGTGCCCCGCGGCAAGTCGCTTAAGCCTCTCTGAGCCTCAGTTTCCCCATTTGGCCACACTCCACCCCCCGTCGCCCCGGACAACACAGATGGAACCCTGTCCGCTCGAGCAGGAGGAGGCCTCTCCTGGTGCCTACTTAGAGCAGCAGCCAAGGCGGGACCGATGGGGCTGGCGCAGGCTGGCCTCGCTAAGCTGGCGGTCCTTGGCAGTTCTCGGCCCCCCTGAAGGCGTCTGGAGAAGGGCCCAGGCCCGGCTGTTGGGGGAAGTGAAGAGGCTCGGACGAAGCCGAGGCCGCTTCTCAGAGGAGGCAGGTTCCGATTCGGGGCAGGGACTCCATGTCCGCTTATTAGGCACCTGCTGGATGCCAGACCAGGCCTCTGCCCCCGCCACTGGCTGCCGGGGTCACTTGCCCTTCGCACGGTGCCGAGTCCTGCTTTCTGCTCTCAGTCTAGAAGACGCCACCGCCAGGAAGCCCCCCGCGTTCTCTGGGTTGTGCCGAGCACCTCCCTTTGGGCTAACACAGCGCCCGAGTTTCCCCAGCACATGGCTGCTCACCCAGTATTACGGCTGGGCTGCGGGCAGGTCGCCTGGCCGACTGCCGCACACAGATGGAACGCGCGGGGCCGGGTACTGTGCTTAGCATCGTCCACACCCGGGGAGCCCCGCGGGGCCGTTGCTACCGCTGTCCCCACTTTACGGATGGGGAGACTGAGGCTCAGAGAGAGTTCACAGTGGAGGCCAGTAGTGTAGCCTCTGCTTGTGGCCTTAGGGCCAGGAGCAGGGCGGGTGTGAGGTCCTTGTCACAGAGCTGTGGCTCCCCAGGGACCCCGTGCAAGGGCCTCAGCCCACCTCTGTGCACGCACGCGCACGCCATGGCCAACACCCTGTTTTTTGCCCTCCTCGATCCAGGAAGAGAGACCCTTTCCCTCAAACCGCCTCGGAGGCCCCCAGCTTCGTCGTGCAGGGCGGACAGCAAGGCACGAGCGGAAAACACTTAAGTGTCCGTCGCGCGGGAAACCTCTGACTCCGCTCACACACGTTCGCCTTTGGGGGCCAGACTGCCGGGTCCAGACCCCACCATCACTCCTACACCGCATGACCCCAAGCAAGCCACTCGGCCTCTCCGGGCCACGGCTGCCTCGTCTGGAAGATGGGGACCTAGCAGTGGTGCCCAGGATTTTCTCGGAGCTACTTAAAACCGGTCCAGCGGTCTTACTCAGCACCTCAGAGTCAAAACCGAATTCTCTCCCCAAATCTACAAGATCCTGCACAAGCCGCCCCCTCCCTCCCTCCCCTCCTCCCTCGCTCCCCCTCGCTCCCCCTGCTCCAGCCACACGGGCCTCCTTGCTACAGCTCCTCCAACACGCCAGGTCTGGCCCTGCCCCAGGGCCTTTGCATGGGCCGTGCCCTCCGCCTGGACTACTCTTCCTGCACACACACCTCCTCCCCACCATTCGTGTCAGCAGCGTCAGATTGAATGGTCCCTCCCTGACCTTCCTGATCGTGCTTGGCACGGGGCCATACAACTGTCCCACACTCATTGCCCCGAAGGCCCCTTAATATGGCCCAGCCCTTCTCAAGGGGTGTGGGAGCCCCTTATCTGCTTGCCAGAAAATTAAACCACATCTGAGCTGATCTCTGAATCCAGCTGCAAAGTCCCGGGAGACAGGGGACAGAGAAACATGCTAAATGGCACCCCAGGGACAGGCTTGGCGAAACCCCGGCTGGAGACGTCACCACATATGACCCATAGGGCTTCAACGAATACCCCCCAACGCAAAAGTAGGGGGGGGGGGGCGGTGAGAATGGGAGGAGCTGTCCGTTAAGACTTAGGACAGCACCGAGGCTCTGTTGGTGGAGCTGGGGACTCGATCTCGGGATTGTGAGTTCGAGCCCCACGTGGGGGGTAGAGACCGCTTAAAAATAAAATCTTCAAAAAAAAAAAAAAAAAAGACCTAGGAGACCGCCGGTGACTCTAGATTTTACGTAGATTCTGAGCCAGACAGCCCAAAGAAACACACATCATGGGGTCCGCATTTCCGTGTGTCTCCTGGATGGATGTCTGAGGCTGTTAGGGAATCATTATTTCGAACACGATACTGAAGTCCGTGGGGTTTATTATTATTATTATTAGTTTAGAGGGGGAGTGTGCGCGAGCAGGAGACAGGGGCAGAGGGAGAGGGAGAGAGAGAGAACCTTAAGCCCAGAGCTGGACACAGGGCTCGATCCCATGACCCTGGGATCAATCCAATCCCCACCCCCACTGAGAGCCGCTGCTTTCGAAGCACCCCATGCTTCCAGATGAAACCCATCTGGCATTGGCATCAAAATGACAACGGAGGGGGTGAGTGGAAGGGCGCAGGAGTTGAGGGCGGCCCTAGACAGACACTGGCTGAATCTGAGTAATGGGTTTGTGGCAGGACGGGGGGGGGGTCATTATTCCATCCTCTCTACGTGGGTGCGTTTGACATTCTCCACCATGAAATTTTGCAATGGTGGGGAAATTCGGATAAAGGCTGGACGTGAGTTCACCATAACGTACCCACGGTGCTTTCTCGGGCCACGTGAGAGGTGTGAGGGGTATGTGGGAACCCTCTGGAGTATTTCTGCCACTCTTCCGGAAACCTAAAATCAGTACAGACTGAAACATTTTGAAAAACACACACACACACACACACACACACACACACACACACAGAACGTTGAAATGCGTAACGAATAAGCCAACCGGGGGTCAGCAGCCCACGTGCCCGGGATTGGACCAGAGGCGCGGGGCGTCCCAGGGCCACCGTCGGTGACCGCACGGCGACTCCCCCCACCCCGCCCCCAGGATCCAGCCTCAGGCTCCGCTGGGGTCCACCACACGGGCGGCAGGAGGGGCCGGAAGCCAGTGGTCTCACAGCAGCCAGGGCGAGAATCCACTTTCAGACCCACTTTATTCTCTCTAGACTAGAAACACTCCGCGTTTCCACCCTCCCTGCCCCGATCTGGGTCGGCCAGGGGCCGCGGGGCCTCACGGCGGCTCTGGGGGCCTCTCCGGGGACGCAGTGGCCTCGGCCCGGCCGTGCGAGCTGCCTCGGGCCAGCAGCCGCAGCCTCCGCGAGCGCAGCCGGGCCTGGACGGCCCAGAGCGGGGGCCGGTGGCCGGGCAGCGAGGGGTCCTCGTCGCCCAAGCTCTCGACGGTGGAGTCGGAGCCGTCCTCGGTGCCGGCCAGCGACTGCTGGCACACGGGGCAGGAGCGGCGGGCGGCCTGGGCGAACCAGGGGTTGATGCACTTGCAGTGATAGGTGTGGGAACAGGGCAGGATCTTGAGCCGGTCGCCCTCCTCGTAGTCGTCCAGGCAGATGGCACACAGGTCGTTCCTCCGCGTGAAGGTGCGGACCCGGGCCTTCCGGCGGGCCTGCGTCTGGGCCGCCGGCCCCCGGGGCCCCGGGGCCCCCAGCCAGGCCCACCACAGCCGTCGCAGGACGAAGACGGCAGACGTGAGCAGGGCCAGGGCGCGGCCCAGCACCCAGGACGCGGCCGGCACGGGGTGGCGGTCCGGCTCGGGGCACGGTGGGTAGTCGGGCAGCCGGAGGACGTGGCCCGCCCTGTCGCAGCGCACGATGAGCCGCAGGTCCCGCGAGGCGGCCTCGCCCACGAACACCGAGGGGATGGCGATCTGGCGTCGCGGCTCCTCGAACCCCGGCGCCTTGCGCACCAGCTCGTCGGAGCGCACGTTGCGCACCACGGCCGCCTCGAAGCCGGCCCGCTGAGCGTGCAGCGCCTTGAGGTCGAACGTGCAGTCGTTTGGGCGGATCAGCACGATGGCGCCCAGCGAGCCGTTGCCCGGCCGCGGGCCCTCGATGGGGCGGCACGCGTCGGCCGGCTCGGCCTCCGTCAGGTAGCCCCGCACGCCCTCGGGGGCCAGGGGCACCCCGAACAGGGCCGGCAGGTCCGCGAAGTCCAGGGTGCTGGCGTTGCCGTCCGGCACGGCCCGCACCACCGCCCCCGAGGGCGCCAGCAGGGCCAGCAGGATCAGGGCGACCGCCACCCCATGGCCGCCCCCCCTCCGCCTCCTCCGGCCGCTGTGCGCAGCTAGGTCCCGCCGGGGACCGCAGACGGGAGGCCTGCGGGCATCTCCAGGGCCTCCCAGGGCGCCCGTGGCCCGGGTGGAAGGGAGGCGAGCTCGGAGGGGGTGCTCAGAGGCGGGTGAGCGGGGCAGCTGGGCCCCGGGCGGCCCCAGGCAGAAACTGCCCTCGGTGGCACCCAGCGTGCATCGGGCGTGTCTGTGAAGGCCGGTCTCAGGAGCAGTCGACCCGCCTGGGAGGCCGTGCTGGAGGATGGCACCGAGGCCAGGGGCCCCCAGGGTTCCAGGTTCCGCTGGCCTCTGTGACATCGTCCTGTTACATCCTGTCCCCAGGAGCCCCCGGTTGCCTAGGGCTGTGGCCGGGACAGAGCTCCTGGGTCTCAGAGCCGGTGGCCCGAGCAGGCTCGGAGGAAACCTGTGGGAGGTTCAGAGCACGCTCAGTTCCTGGAGCCCGTAAGGCTCAGGGGTGCCACAGAGCGGCCCCGGTGGCCCGGACCCGGCACTCACACTCGTCCTGTACAGCATCATCTCCCCAGCCTCCCAGAGACCCACCCAGGAAGGTGCCCCCTTTTCAGATACCCAGAAGGACCCAGACTTGTTCACGACACTCTCCCCCCACGAGGTCGGTTCTTAAAACCCAAATTCCCAACTTCGTCCCTCTCCCCCGCTATTCCCTCTGCTCCAGCCACAGGCGCCCCCTCACTGGCGCCACAACACGCCAGGCCTGGTCCTGCCCCAGGGCCTTTGCACAGGCTGTGCTTTTTGCCTAGAGGGCCCTTTCTCCGGGGCTGGCTCTTTCTCAGGACTTAGGTCTGAGTTCATAGGTCCTTAGAGTTTAACTAGATTTGATTGAGGGGGTGGGGGAGAAGGGTGCCAGGGGCGGGGGGGGGGGCGCTGGTGGGAAAGGGGGGGGGTCCCTGACCCACTGCCTGGTACGCCTTCAGTCCTGCACCAGCTTTACTCTCCCACCTCGGTGCCTCTTCCCCAGCCTGGTCCCCAGCTGTGTCCCCATCCTCCGCCAGAGCCCTGGGTGACAGCCTCCCGGCCTCCCCTCCCCTTCTCCCCCAAACCCCCCACCCCGAGTCTGCCTCCCCCTGGGCTAGGCTAGCCTGCTCAGGTCTGGATGGCCGGTTCTGCCGTTCACAAGCTGTATGGCACCAGGTAAATCACTCGACCTCTCTGGGCCCCCGGTTCCAGGTCTGGAAACCGAGCACAATGATGAGGAACATCCTGTAAGACGGACGGTGTGAGCGGTGAAGGAGACAAAGCACGATCAGCGCTCGGCTCTGGGTCTCACGTTCTCCCTCTCCCTGACCTGCCTCTGCTTTGAAATCCTTCTAGTCAGTGATCTGTCTAAAATCCCAGCCTCTGGTCTCCCGGTGGCCCCCCCCAGTGCCCTCCAGATGAAGTCCAGGCTCCTCTGTGTGGCCCACAAGTCCCCCCACCCCCCCGCCGCCCCCCGGCCACTCACGGTGGTCAGGACCCTGCCAATCTCTTAAGCCCGATGCTTTGCAACGCTCCGACTGCATCGTGATTCCTTGACCTCTGGGGCCTTGCAGATGCTGCTTGTGGTGCCCGGAAAGGCATTCTGTCCTCTCGTGGCACTTTGCCCGCCTGGCCACTTGCTCTGTGGGGTTTCTCGGTGGCCCCATGCCTCCCAGGACGGCCCTGAGCCGGCAATGGAGGAGACAGGGACACACGGGCGGAAGGCCATGTGGCAACAGAAGCAGACACCGGAGTGGCGTGGTGGCCACAGCAGAAGCGGGTGGGGTGGGGGGAGGACAGGCGACAGAGTCTCCCTGTGAGCCCTGGGAAGGAGCCCGCCCTGCCGACACCGACGTGGGGAGAGGACGGGTTTCTGCTCTTGGAGGACCTTCCCCCGGCCCTGCCCCAGGGGGCGGCACAGGTTACAGCGGCCCTAGGACAGGAATCCTTGTCCCCAACAAGGCGAGGTGTCACCACGTGGAGAATGGAGGGTGAGTAAGGATGAACTTGGCGTCAGAGGGCAGGGAACAGCATGCTGGGAATGCGAAGGGAGTAAGAAGGTCTTGAGAGGAGGGAGAGAGTGGGGGAGAGGGAGGGAGAGAAGGAGAGGGAGGGAGGGACCGGGGGGGGGGGGGGGGAGGGCGGGAGGGAGAGCTGCGTGTCTGGAAAGAGGGTCTGACCCAAGGACGGGAGAGGGTGGGCAAGGCTACTGAGCACGATGGGAGCCACAGAAAGGCCGAGAGGGAGGGCAGGACCACATTGCCTTTTCCACGTCCACTCTCTAGATTTCTGCACTGCTTGGCTCTTGTGCGATGGGAACGAATTCACTGATTGCTCCTGAAATAAAAAGCAACTTGCGTTTCTGCAAGAGGCCTCTGGCTGCTGGCTGGAGAGGGACAGGGAGGCTGGGAAGCCACGGAGGGGACAGACACTCAGGGAAGGGACTCAGAGGGGACGGTAGCCCTGAGTGTGCTTGGGGCTGACTGACGTTACCCCTGCCGAAGCCCTTCCCCCTGGGATTCCTCCCCGAAGTCCCTTGGTGCCCCCGCCTTTCACGTCATTCGAGCAACTGATTTCCCTGAGGGACAGGTCCTCGTCCCCGCTGGGATTTTAAAACCTCATCTGGTTTTCTGAGTCTTTGTATTTGGCAAACCCCATCTCACCGTGGCAAGATATGCGCGCTCTCTGTGACTCTCACGAAGTTTGGAGAGAAAGACGACAGGAGAGCCGATATTTAGGGAACGTTTTGGTACACAAAGGAGCGGACGGACGAGGATGGGGGGGGGGGGGAAGACGGAGAAAGCGATTCGCCAAAGACCGCGGTGGGTGACGACGGGGCGTCTCGGCTCCCTCAGGCCTGCCGTGACAAAGTACCACAAACTGGGCGGCCGAGGACATCGGGGATTAATGTTTTCGAAGTTCTGGAGACCCGAAGTCCAAGATCAAAGGCTCGGCCGCGTGGCCCTCCTTCTGGAGGCTCCTCTGGCTTCTGGAACCTTCTTGGCTCACGTGCAGGTGGCCTGGAACGTGCCAGCAAATGAACACCCCCTGGGCGCGGCCGGGGACCCAGGACCGAACACCCCGTCTCTCTGCCTTCTCAGACGCCAGGGCTCTGGGGTGCGCGTCCCGCGTCACCTCCTGGAGGACCCAGTTGGGCTGAACTCCCAGCTGCCCCCCGCCAACGTGCTTGCCCAGGGTGCTTCCTTTATCAGATGCCCTCCCTCTCCATCTTTCCGTTTCTGCACCAGCCAGGGGGCGGCTCTTTTTGTCTCACCCGTCTTGCTCCTCCTTTGTCTCTGTGTCGGTACCTCCGCTGCCCGACTCTGCCCTCTGTCTCTGTCTCTGTCTCTGTGTGGGTCTCCCTTTGTGCCGCTGCGTCCCTGGCTCCTTTCGACGCGCTGGGTGCCGGATACACAGCCGTGACGGAGACAAAACCCCCGACCTTACGGAGATTCCGTTTCAGCCGAGAGGAGGGAAGTCAGCCAGACAACGAATTGACTCCATGAATAAACCAGCCGTCAGGTGAAGCAATTTCAGGGTGCGAAACGCAGCGAAGGAAAAGAAAGCGGGGGCAGCATGAGGTGGGGCGGTTCGAGGAAGGTCTCCCCAAGGCAGGCGCGTTCGAATGGGAGCCCGAAGAGAGGAACGACCTTTGCTTCTAGAACATTCTTGGGGTGCCACCAAATCACACTCCCGCAAGTCGGCCTGGGATGTGCTGGCTGGTGTCATTTCGTTTGGTGCGTTTGTTCATCAGATATGTGCTGGGCACCCACCGTGTGCGAGACCCTGGGCTGGGCGCTGGGGACATGGAAGTGACTGGCACCAACCCAGTCCCCACCGTCCAGGGGCTCTGTCCAGTGGAGGAGGAAAGCGACCCACAAGGGAACGGGCATATCTCACGTGGCGATCGGTCCCGTGACGGGAGTCAGACGACAACGAGACAAGCCCAAGTGTCTGAGGAGCCAAGGTCAACCCCGACGAGCTGGGCGGAACTCGTGGGCCCAAGTGTGGGGACCAGCGGGGTAGCTCTCCCAAGAGACTTCGCCAATTTGAAAAGTAAAATGATAACTTTCCAGTGGGGGGATCCTGGCAGACACCGGGGTAACCACGGGATCAAGGTTAACATCACCGGGGATGAGACGCGTCGGCTTCGGGCGACTCCTGGCCTCCCGCCCTGAGGAGGACACAGCGTCCCCTCCGTGGGACCCGGGCCACACTGCCCAGCCCAGGCTCGTCCTGACCCGATATCAGACAGACCCGAACGGAGGGGCGGTCCCCCAAACTCTTCCAAAGGTCAAGGTCGTGGAAGATGAGAGACCGCGGACACGTGACAACGAAATACAGTGAGCGGCGCTGGCCGGGGTCCTGGGCCGGTCAAACCCCGGATGAGGTCAGTTTGTTAGCAACGTTGTTCCCACGTTAATTTCCGGGTTTTGCCCATCCTACCGGGTTGATGTAAAATGTCATCACTCGGGAGAGCTGGGTGGAGGGTGGCCAGGAACCTGTACTTTCTGCGGCGTGTGGTGACCCCGTTCTTCTGTGAGTCTATGATTATTTCAAAGCAAAACATTCAAAAAACCCAAACAGCCTTAAGGAAAAGAAGAAGAAGGAAGGAAGGGCGCCTGGGGGGCTCAGTTGCTTAAGCACCTGACTCCGGCTCAGGTCATCTCGCGGTTTGTGAGTTCGAGCCCCGCGTCGGGCTCTGTGCTGACGGCTCGGAGCCTGGAGCCTGCTTCGGATTCTGTGTCTCCCTCTCTCTCTGCCCGTACCCCACTCATGCTCTGTCTCTCTCACTCTCAAAAATAAATAAACTTTAAAAAAAATTTTTTTTAAGGAAGAAGGGAGGAGGAAGAGGCGGGCGGAGGAGAAGAGGAGAAAGTCTCAGAAGGAGATGGTGGCTGGCATAGAAGGTGGTCAGGGAAGTCCTCTCCGAGTGGGTTGTCATGTAAACCAAGACCTGAAGGGTGAGGAGGAGTTGGCAGAAGGAGACGGGGTGGGGAAGACCAGAGCTCCAAGTAGCAGGAACAGCACACGGGCAAAGGTCCTGTGGCAGAAGGGGTCGGTGTGTCTGAAGAAACGTGAAGAACGGTGTGGCTGGCGTGGGTAACTGCCTTGATCCCGGAGGGTCTTGCGGATAGAAATGGGCATTTTGCCTTTTACTGTAAGCGCAATGCAAAGCCCGTGTATCTGGGCTCCCCTGAGACAAGGATTCGGGTACAAGCAGTTGACGGGGTAAGTGATTCCGGGAAGCCCAGGAGGGCCGTGGGATAGTGAGAGAGGGAGGGGAAGGAGCCAGAAATGGGGGTGGGGGGAAGGCGGCACTCATGAGCAGGTGACCGTGGTAGGCAGAGGGGGCTCAGTCCCATCCGGGACTTCTGGGAGACAGCGCAGAGGGAGGAGGGAGCTGGGGTATTTATGCTCCAGCCACCGGCCGGAGGCTACGAGAGGGAGTGACAGGATTCTGCAACACTTCTAGCCTGCACGGGCGTGAGCAAAACAGGTTCAGGCGGAGGGTCAGAGCTGGGATGCCAGCCAGCAGCACGGGGAGCCGGTGGGGGACCAGGGAACCCGGGAAGGCCATCGACGGCATCGGCCACAGGGCCTTTACCCTCGCACTGACCGATACAGCAGCCGCTAGCTATGCGTGGCTATTTCAGTCCATTCCAGTGAAGCAAAATTGAACTCAGTTCCTCGTTCACACGCGCCACGATCCAAGTGCTCCACAGGGAGCACACAGGGGCGGTGACGGTATTGGGCGGCACAGGTCTAGAACATTCCATCCTCAACGAAACATTCTACTGGGCAGTCCTGCGCTGAAGCATTTTAAGCGAGGGAGGGACACAACCCGATAGAGGGTCGAGGAAAACCCTGCTGGCTGCTGAGGAAAAGCAGCCGGTTGGGGTTAAAAATGGAAACCGGGAGCCTAGGGAGGAAGCAATCGGGGTGGATGTAACAGAGGCTCGGACCAGTGCAGTAGCAGGCAGGGGTGGGGCAAGGCTTGTCGGAAGCAGCATCACCGGTGGGGGGGGGGGGGGAGTGGGAGCCGAGTGACCATCTGAAGGTAAGAGGAGGAAGGGGAGGGGAGTCTGGCCCCTGCTGTGAGCCCCAGGTGGAAACAGGATGGCCGTCCCCAGGACGGGGATCTGGGAGAGGAAGCCACTTCAGAGACGGACACGGAGTTCCGTCTGGGCCCTGCTGGGCCTGAAGGTCAGGGGAAAACCCAGGGGGCAGCCGGACTCCGATGGCAGAGGCCGGGGTAGACGCAGGAATCTGGGCCCGCGGGGCCCGCTGGCCACAGGCCCAGCTGGCAACCACTGGGCCGTGATGTAACTTGTCAGGCAGAAGCAAAGCCTCGTCCCCAGGCTCGAAGGCACAGCTTGCCTAAATGCTAACAAGTTTTGCCTCCAAATGGTGGCGGGGTGTGTGCGTGTGTATGTGTGTATTTAATTCTGGAATGAATTTAATTCTAATTCCGCCGACTTTGGGGATGGGAAACAGCTGTCTTAATGAGTTAAACAGTGGGTTTAAAATAGCGAGCATCTGTTCGCCGTCTGAGCCAGCACCCGCCGAGGCCACTCGGAGGCTCCGAGCTTCCAGTTCCGGGGCCCTGGCTGCGGCTCTGGGGACGGGAGGGAACACGGCCCAGGATGTGGATTCAAATCCAGCCCCGCCACTGGGGAGGTCGCCGCCCCCGACCCCGGGGGGTTTCTGCTGCCGTACCTGTACCAAGGGGGCTGCGTGCCCCCCACACTGGGCGGGACCCTGTGCTGGGACCACAGCCGTCGGACGGGTCCCGCGGGGCGGCAGACCGTGAGCACAGACCCCTGGCTGTGCGGCCCGAATCCCTCTGTGCCTCAGTGTCCTCGTCTGGAAGTGGAAATAACAACAGTTCCTAACTAACGCAGGGGGTTGTGGGGGGGGGAAAAAAGTTGAAAGGAACTACCACAGGTTAAATGCGTGCCTGGAACAGCGCCTGACAGACAGTAAATAAATATATAACAGAATGTCAAGGAGCAAAGAGGCCTAGGGAGAGGAAATAACGCCACAGAGAGGCCTGGGTGGGGCTGACTTGGATGGGGAAGTCAGGGAGGTGAGCGGTCCAAGCAGTGGGCACAGCAGGTGCAAAGGCCCTGAGGCAGGCCCATGTTTGGAGACAGCGTGAATAAGGAGGAGGCCAGTGTGGCTGGAACAGAAGGAGCAGGGCCAGAATTCAGACCCGGCTTCGGTTGCATTAAAGGGGTTTCCGTTTTCTCCCAAAGGCACTAGGGAGCCACTGAGGGTTTCAGGCAGAGGGGGAGTGAATCTGATCTGCAGCCAGACTTCTGGCTCTCGTCGTCGGGGCTTCTGTGTACATTTACTGAGCACCTACC